TTGTAGGGAAATGGATTGTAGAAGAGTTCTTTATATGTCAGAGCTGAGAAGGTTGTGGTTGGATCAGCAGCCTGGCTTGTAGTTTTCCACTAGATAGTACTAACTCTGTATTTGTTGACCATGGTTGGTTTTCTGTTAGCAGTGGATTTTGAGGACTTGAAAGGGCAGATGAAAGAAGACGACATGAATAAACTAGAGAGTGTTGTAGTGGCAAAGATGAAAGACATGGAAAGTCTTTGTGATGCATTTAGAGGTTGTCATGCAGTTTTTCACACCTCTTCCTTTGTTGATCCACACGGGATCTCAGGTTATTCAGTAAGTTACTGCAGTATCATAGTGCAGGAACAAGCTTTAATGTTAATCATGCATGGAATTTGAAGTTTTTAGGTGTGATTTGTGAACTTTGCGGGCGCAAAAAATGTTAAAACTCCAAATGCTTTGCAAACATAGTAAAATTAGAAAAATCCCAGGCTCAAAATGCTAGTCAATAATTATGTCTTACAGTTGCATGCTGTTCGCGTTATAATTTGCAGGAACAAATGGCATTCCTTGAAACTGAAGGCGCGAGGAATGTTATTGAAGCATGTAGTAGGGCAGCATACATAAGGAGATGTATCTTCACCTCTTCTCTTCTTGCTTCCATCTGGACTTCTTCCAATTTGGACAGGGTTGTTGATGAGAGTTGTTGGAGCAGTGAAGAATTTTGCAGAGAAAATAAGGTACTCAAACCTGTTGCATAAATCTTTTCTGTGGGAATTTTCTTCGTAAGACCATTTAAAACGTTGACCATTTAAACCGTTGTTTTGGTACTTGATTAAAAAGTAAAGTATTCATTCTCCATGGACTTTCAATATGTAAAACAGCTTTGGCTTGCTTTGGGTAAGGTGAGAGCAGAAGAGATTGCTTGGAGAAAGTCAAAAGAATTGAAAGTGAGACTCGTAACTGTTTGTCCTGGCCTTCTCATAGCTACATCGTTCCCCCATGCTCACAAAGAAACCTCTATACCATATCTTAAAGGTAATAACAACATTTAATCCATTTTTGTTCCACTTAGTTTGAGTTCGAATCCAATATTCTGAAAAGAAGTTCCAGTTTTTCAAGTTCGTCTGTAAATCACACTTGTATTTAGATCATAACAACTAGGCAATAATTCTGGACCATGGAACATCTAGAGAATCCAAAAGAAATGATTGGATTTTGTTCACTACAACTGAAACTTAACATATAAGATCTCATGGATAGGTGGTCCAATCATGCTACGACAGGGCCTCCTAGGATTATCAGATGTGAGGAAGGTGGCAGAAGCACATGTCCATGTTTATGAAGCTATGGATAATGGAGCTTGTGGACGATATATATGCTTTGAAAGAGTAGTACAGAGATTGGATGAGGCCATTCAACTTGAAAATGAATTGAATATACAAGGTCTGGTGTCAGGAGGAAGAAGTGGAATCTTATCAGAAGAAATACACAGCAATCTAAGTAATTCGAAGCTTGCCAGATTGTTACATCAGGCATCTCAAATCTCTTGCAATCAATGAAACAGAAGTCAGCATTCCCTGTATACACATCTTTTATGCTACATTACTACTAATTCATTATTAGTGGGATGGGGGATTGTTGATCAAAGTTAATTAACTTTCGAGTCGTGCAGGAGACTGCAACCATTCTTGTATTTCTCATCAACGTATGGTGGAAGCTGACTACCAAAGCAATTGAAAAGTGAGCAAGAAATTGAATTAGAATAAAAGTTAATGGCTGCTGTTAGTTTTTACCCACCATTAAGTCTCAAGAATGGTCTGGTCTCCAATGGGGCCTCACGGAAAAACTCTTTGCTTCGGAAAGAAACAGGGTGGATCGCTTAAATTATCACTTACAGGAATGATGAACCACCCTATCTTAAACTACGGGGAAAGTAACAAGTAAAGATCATTTCATGCTGATGGCATAACAGCCGAGGAAGCTGATCTGAGCCAAGTCCATTTTGATCCGTTACCACCCTGCTTGATTTACAGCTCTTAAGAACATTTTTCACACCCCAGAAATGAAGTTTTTATCATGGCAATGGCATTGACAGACAGGAAACAATTCGGCTTTAGGAAAATCAATAATAACAAATATAGTCAGCTGTCAGATTCTCAGGGCAGCATCAGAACAAAGATATTTATGTCCCATATAGAACTTTCTCCAAGCTCTTACCATGATAAAGAATGAAGTTTTTTTTTTTTTTTTTGGTGCAACATTAGCACCAGATTCACATACCCTTGCCCCTAAATTGGGTAATCGTGTAAACATTCCAGGTGGTTTGGTTTTAAACCCAGTCTAAGTAAAAAGCTGGGTAAAAAAATAATTTTTTTAATTTTATTATTTTTTCTTTTAATTACATTTTTATATTTTTTTTTATTATTCGGCTAGGTTAGCTTGGTTTTTTTTTTTATCTAACCAAGTTGATTGGATCACGTATGAATTTTAAATGTAAAGATTTGAGTCGAGAGATTTTTTATGTTAATTTCATTATCAAACTTTTTTTATAGCTCAACCATGATACCATTGGACAGGCCAAGTCGACTTGCTCATACAATTTAATTTTAAAATTGGTATAAAAAAAGTCAAATCAAGAGATTTTTAAAGTTGATTCGCTAGATTGTGTTTAACAAAAATATAAAATAATTTTTTATATCTTAAATTTTTTTAAATATATTAAAAAATTTAATTCAACCTAGAGCGTAACATGGACCTGTAAACTAGAATAACTACAAAAGACTTAGAGGGCATGCTTAAATTTTTTTTAATTATGTTAAAAAATTTAACTTGACCTATAGTGTAATATGGACTTGTAAACTAATATAATTGTTGTGCGCCCCCTAGTTTTCCTTTCATTTTTTTTTTAAATTTTATAATTTGATATATGCTTGATTTTGATTTGTTTTTATAAGATTATTGTAATTTCAAATAAATATATAAACATTTGATTTGTGCTAGTTTATGCTTGGTTTTTCGAGTGTATATTTTTTTTAAAAAATTAATTATTAAATTTAGTGGAGTTCATCACTTAAATAATGGATTTAATGGATTAAATCGTGAAGCTCGAATCAATCCAATAAATCATCATCTTAATATTAAAAAAAAAATATTTTGTATTTTTTTTTAAATAAAACCACAATCCAATATATCATCATCTCAATATTAAAAAAAATATCTTGTATTTTTTTTTAAAAAATAAAACCATACTTTTTACTAGTTGTAAAGGTTACATTTTGACTCTTATAATCGATTGAATTAAATTAAGACAACTCTTATATGGTTTAGTGTTAATCCTGAATTAGATAAAAAGTTGAATCTAAATGATTTAAGATTGAATTGTTAAACCAAATTTAATAATAATACCAAACAACTTTTTATAGATAGAATTATTTTTTGCTTTATTTTTTTTTTCATTCTAAATCCCCGTGTAGTGAAACTTTTTAACCTAGTATAATATTATAAGATTATAAACTTGGAAGCTAACAGAAAATCCAGAATTGATAAAAGACATTAAAGATTCTTATTTTACTGTCTTTTGGGACTAAAAATAAATAAATTTGATTAATTTTTTCAAAGTTTACTAATATAATGATGAAATATGATATTATCCCACGAGCTTGAAGACTAAGCTAAAATTTGTAGTAAGATTGTTAATCTTATAATTTTAGCAATTTAATTCATTATTTATTTGTTGAGTGGTTGATAGATCATTTTTATTATTTACAAAAAAAAAATTTTATATATATTTAGGGCTCTTCAACTATTAAATTAATATTAGTTAAGAGAGAAAGATCTGTTACAGTTTTTTTTAGAAAAAAAATGGCTTTTTAGGATAGATATATCATTATATGAAAAATAAAAATAAGAAAAAACTCCCTCCTTCAAAGTTATCTTCTCCTATCTTTATAGCTCTTTTGAGGTCTCTCTCTTCGTTTAGAATGGAAAAGTCAATGTACTGGTAAAATATATCTATTTTGTTAAAATAAAATCTTTTATGTATAAGGATAAGAAATTTTTATTTTATCATAATAAAATATTTCTGAATTTATCAAAATAAAAATATGTTTAATATATTAAAATAAAATATTTTTAACTCATAATCTCATCAAGAAACTTGAGATTTCCCTGAAGTTAAAAAAAATATAGGCTTTGGTCTTATAGATTATAGACTCGTAAACAATGGGAAATAATAAATTTAATAACTTACTAGATTTATATTTATTTAAGTTTAATACTTAACTGAGTTTAAAAATAATAGGTTTAATAATTCATTACATTCATATCCATATATATTTAGGTTTGATATTTAACTAAACCTATAAATATTGAATTATAATCCTCTTTCCGATTATGTTTTTAAAAATCAGTCCTACACTAACAAAAAACAATAAATTCAGAACCATCACATAAAAATCAATCCTAACTTTTGCAAATATCAACTTCTTTTTATTCTAAAAAAATAAAAACAGCTTACTTTTCTATTTCTGAAGTGAATATATAAACTTAAAATTCTCTTAAATATACTGTCTTTCATTATATATTTATTTTTTAATAAAAAAACATAATGACCCAAAATTCAAACTTATTATCATCATGTTCTAACTTATTATAAATTCATTTTATTTCGACTAAACAAGTAAGTAATTGAGCTAATTATAATTCACAGATAGGTGTGACTTTACAATATTAACACAATTTTTTTTTAATAGATTTAGATTGATATATTTTTTCATATTACAATTATTAATTTAAATATAGAATGTTGATACAACCCTAATATTATCAAATTTGCCAATATGTATCCCTCTCATATTCTGAAAACTCAGGTAAAAATTTAGTGAAACTTAATTATTTTTTAAAATATTTTAAATTAATAATTTTTTTAAAAAAATTAACCCTCTTACCCTCTCACTTAATTTAAAAACTGTGTTACCAAGAGGTTTAAAGTATATTTGGAAATGTGATAAAAACAGTATTTTAAAAAAAAATTAATTTTTTTTATTTTTTAATATATTTTATATGTTTTGAATGGTTTGATATAACTGATATTAAAAATATTTTTTAAAAAAAATATTATTAATATATATTTTAATATAAAAATTATTTAAAAAAAATCTAAAATTACACTGTCAAATAGACTATTAGAACTTTAGGTCAATGTAAATGTCATTCATTTGTAAAATAAAATAAAATAAAAAATCCATTCACTGTACTAAATTGTGTCCAATTGTATCCTTTGTGTTGAGTGTAAAGTATTCAACCTCGCAAATTTTCATCCTCCGGAGAGAGATCAGATACTGCTAGCAAAAACAAATGGGAGAAGAAAGGGAGGATCCGCAGAAGCTTAAGAGGATAGCAGCGGCTGCTTTTGATTACGAGAACGACCCTAGATGGGCTGATTACTGGTCAAACATCCTCATCCCTCCTCACCTGTCGTCTCGCTCTGATGTCATCGATCACTTCAAGCGCAAATTCTACCAGCGCTACATCGTCCGTACAATATCTCTTTCTTTCTCACATTGATTTGCTTTTGGTTCTTGATTCTTGGGGTTTTCCGGATTAATTTTAAATGGGTCTTGGTTTTTTGGGATTTAGAATCTTACTTACAATCTGATCACTTTTGCATGTATATAGTATTTTGATTGAATCCCAGATTTCCTTTTTATTTTTCTAATATACTTATGAGTTTTGATACTGTTATTGACAGTTTTAGTTTCTTGATTCTTGAATTGTCTAGAAGCCAGAAAAAGTAATTAAAGTTTGAATCTTGGTTGAAATTATCAGTGGGTTTTTGGCACTGTTTGGAATTTTGGTTTTGAATTCTTTAGCATTGTATAATATGTGGGTTCAATTGAATAATGCACTTGTTTCTGCAAATGGGATTTTGTGATACGATGGATAGAGTATTGCTTAGTCACTTGATGACATTTGCAATGTTTCTTTTAACATTTTATATTTGTCCGTATGACTAATTACTCGCATATACATGCGAAATGATGATTTTTTTTTCTTGCCTTTTCATTTTGCTGTTTTCATTTGTGCTTGCATCGTCACTTAGCGTGATTGTTGGTTTTCTAGGGGAAGTAATTCTTAAGAGGTGCTGCATATTTATATGCTGTGCTCATAATCTTTGTACACATTTAATTGGCAGGACCCTGATCTAGTGGTGGAGGCAATGTCTTCAAATGTTTCATCTCACTCGACAAAGTCATCTGGGTCATCTTCTTCATCACCAGCCCCTTCAAATGACCAGCCTCGACCACGCAATACAGGTCTGACATATGAAGACATTTTATACCCCTTAAAATAGAGTCACATGGGTCCCATTGTCCTCTGCTCCAGTTATTTAATTGATTAAAATAGAGTCACATGGGTCCCATTGTCTGCATATGTATAAAAGTTGAGTTCAATTTCTTGTTATTGTTCTGTCATGTTGCTTCTTTCATATGATTGAGTAGTTGGACCAAACCTTTTCTTCTGTAGGGTCAACTACTAGAACCTCTGGGCCATCGGCTACTGCAGGTCAAAATCCAACCCCTGTTCGCTGGGATCGACAAACCATACAATTTTCTATCAATGCTTGGGTAGGGTATTCTTTTCCTTCATATGTTTGCATGTGTAATCTTTTCTGGAAATACTTTGGCGAGTTTGATACATAATTCAATATGTTTATAGACTGTCATTTTTTACCTTTTTACAAGCTGCTGACTTTTTTCACAAAGAATGGGGAAAAACTTATAAAACTTCATCTATATTCTGTACCTTTTCTCTACATGTAAAATAAATGATCAGAAAAGTTTATAAAATCTGCTTTATTGACCCAAGACTATCTAGAATATTAATTATATAGAAGTCAATGGAGGTGAGAGATGATTGTTCTCCTTGAAATGCGATCTTTATCTCCTTCAGCAAGTTCAATTTTTTTTACTGTAGATATATTAAAAAATATGAGTTCTTCTCACTTCTGTATCATTTCCACCACCCAAGTAAAGCTCGCGGCTCCATTCATGACTTTCCAAAATTCTCTAGCCTGTTAGCAATGTTAAACTAGATGTTCAACATATTCAGCTGATTGTTTGTGCAGAAGCTGTTCTTCTTTTACCTGTTTAGACTTTACCAATATCCAAATCATTCTCTTTGAATTCCCAAGTTCTCATAGAACTTAGATGAAACCTCAATTTTGATTTCCATGTGTCTGTTCTTATTTAGGTTGGTAGTTGAACTCCTTGAATTGATAGTAAAGTTTTGACCAGATGGGACATCAATTTTGGATAGACACTCATTATAATGGAGCAGCTCTCATCTGATGTAATTTCAAATTTTATGTTTGTCAGATTGGTCAACAGCTGGTTCTGACTATAAGAGCTCCTCATCTTACATGCTTAGCTACTTCCTTCTCCACCCACCCTCCTGCCTCTTCCCACCTCCTAGGCCTTTTGAACATAGCATTTCAGGGTTGATAAAATAAAAAATGAGATTGAGTTGGTTTCCTGGTAGAATTAAGAAAAGTATAGAAATTTCAGAGTTTTCCATCAGCGTTTCTCAGGCATTGCAGTCATGGTCCTGAAAGCTTTGCTCTTTGGTTAGGGCCATGAATTTTCTTAAACTTTGTGTAACTATTCCTGTTTTTGGATTAAAGCATTATACGGATGCATCTTATAAGTGTCAATTAATCTTAACACTGAAGCCCGTATGAAGTTTGGTCAAAACCCCAAAAATATGAATGCATTCAATTTATGAGTCTCTGATAAACATCATCCTGTACCTACAAACCTGGAAACTCAACAATTCTCTTGGTTTGTAAAATTAAATAGACTTAATTTAGATGAATTGAATCTTTTTTAGTCTAATTGGATATAATCAGAAAACACTCTTGGCTTCTGAAGGGCTCCATGTAGCTGTCCCTGATTAAATTTCAAGAGAACATTTTAGGATGTTTTGATTTTAATTTCGCTTATTTCAGAGCCTGTATCAGGCGTGGTAAGATTTGTTAGGTTTTTTCTTCTGCTTTTTTTTTTTTAAAAAAAAATCCCATGCAGAAAATAAGAATGAGATAAGAGAACTGAAGGGAGTTCTGGTTCTGGTTCTTGTATCCCATCCAGAGAAGGGTTGGGGGTAATAGGGTGTTCTTCTTTAAACCTATAGCTATTTATTTATTTATTTATTTTCTCTGTCTTGAGAATAGGTTTTAAGTTTCCAATATAAACTACCACTTAGATGATGTTAGAGAACTAAAAACTCTCACCTTCAAGTTTTGACCATAGGAAATCAACATCTTGAATAGCCCTCCGTGTAATTTGGGCTATCTCTTACCCCTATTGTACTTTCAACTCAATACATGTTTCTCTTAATATGCTTCCATCCTTGCCTGCAGGTTTTCATTGTGGCTGTGCTTGCAATTATTCCCCTCGTTCCTAAAAATCTTTCAAGTAGGGCATCTCGGCTGTCATTTATGGGCACTGCATGCTCATCTCTGTATTCCTTATACGCACTATATGGGGTAACCAAAAATACATATGCTTCATTTTCTTTTTTCCCCTTCCTGTCCTATAACTCATATTTTGCAGTCTTATCTTCCTGTTATTAGAGTTGCTGTTATTCATCATTAACTAGGGTTTTGTCTTTTGTAGAGACCCAGAGCATGGAACTTGCAGGGTATTCAAGCTTACTTGCAGTCAATAATTGCGACCAAAGATTTTATCTACGTCATCTACTGCCTTACATTTGTCACTTCACATCTTTGCCTCAGATGTGAGCATTAATTGGCTTCTAATTTTTGTATTCTGATTTTCTATTTTCTCAGTAATAATTTTCTGATTCTGAATCCCATTAATTGGCCAGTTATTTTGGTTTCAGTGTCATGTGAAATATTGATGGTGACCTTTTTTGCAGTTGCTTTAATTCCAATTTTGTGCCGATCACTGGAGCATGTTGCCAAATTCTTGAGGTGTAATTTCAGTCGTTCCACCTTGTACAGGTAGAGAAGTAACATATTTTCACTTAAATTAATGCGATATTTAGTTTCAGTAGTTTGACTCGCACATGTTTTTATAGTTTGTCCTTGGTATTCGACTCGAGTTGATTTATTGTTACTGTTGTTTCATTTTTAGATTTTTTTCTTGACTAATGAAGTTGTAGCATCCATCTTGTAATTCTTCTTTTTTCTATTCTTAGAAAGCTTGTATTTGGTTCTGTAGGAAGTACCTTGAAGACCTTTGTGTATGGGTGGAGTCCAACACAACTACCCTCAACATTTTGTCCTCTCATTCCGAAATTGGACTTGGCTTCCTCTTAATTATTTCCTTGTTGTCGTAAGTTGTTAATGTTAAACCTAGTCCTTTCTTTTTGATCCGACCTTCTATCCTTTTGGAATTATAAGTTGTTAAAGTTAAACCTATTCCTTTCTTTTTTATCTAACCCTTTATCTTTTTGGAATTATAATCATGGTTTGATGTATGCAGGTGGCAACGCAACATAATACAAACATTCATGTATTGGCAGGTAAATTACTTTCTAATCTTAGAGAATAATATAAATTATATTTTGGGGTTCTTTATAACAACTTAAGGTTTTGGGTTGAGATGATTCTTTAACAATGTATCAGAGCATGTTCATGAGCTTGAATCTCATTACTTCTATTCTATTTGATAAAATTAAGCACAAGCCATTAGTGGATCTATGTAAGTTTCAAGTCCAAAAGGCTTTTACTTGAAGGGGAGTGTTAGAAAATAATATAAATCATATTTTGCAACCTTATCTAATAGTTTAAATTTTTGGATTGAGATGGTTTTTTGACAATGATAATGAATTTTATCGTTGAAAATGTACACAAACTCTCCTTTTTCCTTTCCATTCCTTTTTCTTGTTCTTTTTTGTTTTTTTTTGGGTGGGGGTGGTTGGGGGGGTTAAATAGGACATGCTTATTGTCCCGCCATTCTTGTTGGGGAAGCAAGGAAACAATCAGAGCTCATCCATTTAAACTGAATCAAAGTTTTGATGGAAAAATTGATCTTTTGAAAAGTGGTGTACTAATATAAGAACCTTGTAGTGGTGCATTTTAAGAAATGAAGGCTAGAAGAAAGAGAATATTCACGCATATACTTAGGCAAATTACTATGAGAAATTGAATTACCACTAAAGAACTTGGAGCCAGCTTGAAAATTACTATGAGAAATTGATGGGACAATTATGTCGTTGTGTACTGATCAAATGAAGAAAATGACACCAAAAACATGTGAGAGTTTGTGTTCAGGAAGGGCTACTATCAGGTTCTGCTCCTAAACATGTCATTGGTGTTTAGAATGTGGTGACATTCCATCTGTTCTTTGATTTTCACGGGACACTTAAATTTTCTTTGTTGTGTTTAGTTGATGACTTATGCTTGCTTACAGCTAAGATAGTAAACTGACGTTTTCCTTTCTGTACATTATTTCACTAGGGAGAACCTCATCCTGGGTTCTAAAATATTTTAGAAACATGACCTAACTAAGCCTTTCTTTCTTGTTTTTGAAATTTTTCTGACAGCTATTGAAGCTCATGTATAATGCCCCTGTGACTGCTAGTTACCATCAGAGCGTGTGGGCTAAGATTGGAAGGATCGTCAATCCGCTTATCTACCGTTACTGCCCATTCTTGAACACTCCACTCTCTGCTGTTCAAAGATGGTGGTTTAGGTAAATGTCCATAGATAGCAATGGAGAGAAGGGAAGAAAGGCTCTTGTGAGATGTTAGTTGTTATTGGGAAGAAAAAGACCAAAGCTAGATGTGTGGCCAGCGAGCCAACTTGGTCGCTGGATGGATAAACCTTGACTGTTGATCACAAATGGTCCTCTTCCCATGCCCTCTCCTGTATGGATTCAGGATCAGAAGTTTTCATTTTAATGAATTAGATTTTATACTATTTTTAAAGAGCATCGAGGGAAAGGATAATGTTTTTGAATTTCTCTGGCCTTAAATTATAGTTTGCTGAAATGATGTAGACCATCAACTCCAAATAGCTGCTTGCTCTGCATTGTCTTCATGCTTCTTTAGTGTGTATTTATTTACGCGGCTGTGTCTGCTCTTTAAACAAAACACAGCTAACAGATATTTGGTTACATAAAAAAATAGATATTACTATTCATGGGTCCGATATCTTTCAACGTCCTAACCACATATCTCATGAAGTAGCCGGGGGTGCTTTTGTTTCAATAGTAAACAATGGTTTTTACGCGCTGTTTAGCTAGCTGTATGCTAATTAATTAGCATATATAATGTAGCTAGCTGTACTATTCTAGTCAAATTGATTCTGAATAGACGGTTCGGTTTAAAATTTAAAATATATTAAATTAGATCTGATTTAGTAAAATAAAAATTATTATTTATTTTTAATTATGTTTTATTTGAAAAATTAGTGTTTAATATTATTTAATTATATTATATAAATTAGATAAAGATTATTTTATGATGTAATATTTGCAGAATTTGATTGTAATTTTAATTTTGCTCATGATTGTATTTTATTTGATGTTTTATATGGCTGATGATTGTATTTTATTTGATGTTTTATATGCTTAAGAAATAAAAAAAATTGCAATCCTTATAAATGTATTTCATATATGATAGAATCGTATATATTTTAATGAAACAATAAAAAATACTGCAGTATTTATCAAATGTATTTTATATATGATGGAATTGTATATATTTTAATGAAACAATAAAAAATATTTTATATAAAATATTATTTATTTTATGATGTAATAACAATAGTTAAATTTTATAATATTTAAATTAAAAACTATCAATATTAATATATATTTTTTAAAATTATTTTATAATCTTATTTTCAAAAGTATTATTAACCAAATATATTAAATTATTTTTTGTTCAATTTAAATTTCAACTACAGTTTTAACTAAATATACATAAATACCAAATCAACCTCAATCAAAAATACTTTTAATGTATTCAAATGGTCATAGAGCAGTAGCATTCTTAAAAGAGGCAAACATATATTGTAGCAGCCTTAACAACTTCCAAGAAAAATTAAAACAAAAACAGTATCGACATCTCTCTCTTGATTAATATTCTGTTTGAGGTTGCTGTGTAATATATTTTTTGTTAAATCCTTTTTTTTTGAAACTTTGAATTAGTTTTTTAATGTTTTTGTATTGTTTAGATGAGTTGATATTAAAAATAAATTTGAAAAAGTAAAAAAATTATTCTAATTTATTTTTAAGTAAAAATTATTTTAAAAAACAATTGTTATTATATTTTTAAACTATCCTTAAAACTTAATCAACATTAATTGATATCATGATGTTTAAGCTTTCGTGTCTTTGTTGGATTTTTGTTTTTGCGTGAAAATCTCATGATATAATAGAGTATTTTTATTCAAAATATTAGAGTTGAGTAAAACATTAGGGTTATTATTCAAGTTTTGATGTTTTGAGATTTAATACATATCAATATATAAGGTCACTTTGGTTTAAACTTGATCCGGGTAACATGTGATTGGGTGAATTGATGTGAACATATGGATTTCTCTATGCGGGCGCATTATATGAGATCCATAATGATATTAGTAGCTAGTAATATGCTTTTCTTTTTTTTTTGTTCATGAGGTTGACTTTGTTTTGATTTTTGCATAGATGTATGATATGTAATTTATTTTATTCATAATTTGCGTTGTCTTATAATTAATTATATTGAATCCATGTGCATTATATGACTTTGTTTTGATTTTTGCATAGATGTATGACATAATAGACTTTTAATTTATGCTCGGTTCCCCTTTCCAACGTTATATTTTGGAGGTCTGTCAATTATTTTCATGGTGTTTTTCTTAGCTTCCATCGATCATTTTCAGGGATTATTTTTTAGTATAAGTTTTTATTTTTATATATTAAATCTAAGTTTCTATTTTTATAAATTAAATCAACCTTACTTGTGGTAGTTTGTCCATGACTATCTTATACAGTGATTGCACCTTGTGTTCTAGAGGGTTGTTTTTTAAAGTTTTTTTAATATTAAAATAATATATTTTATTTTTTAAAATTTATTTTTAATATTAATATATTTAAATGATTAAAAAAATATTAAATTTTAAAATACATGTATTTAGACCCAATTTCAAACATGATTTAGTCTCTTTCATGAAATAAATAAAGATTTGTTTGAGATTGTGGTGGTCAGGTTTAAATTATTAAAAAATATATATTAAAATATTATATTTTTTTTAAAAAAATTATTTTCAAGATTAATACATAAAAATAATCTAAAAATATAAAAAATAAAATTTTATTTATAAAGGAACACACCCAAGTAATAAGTGCCTTCAAAAAAACATACTTCTAGGTACTTCTAGGCAGGTGATGGTTTGTCAATATAGCCATAAACGACAAGAATATTTCCGACTTTAACTTTCCAACAATCATATTTCTTAGTGTGTGTTCGTGTTAGAGGTAGAAATTATGGTTTGGGTGTGGGAACAACTAAAAAAGTTAAAAAAAATAGAAAAATATTAGCTTTTGTGGTTGAGTTTTGCTCCGACTTTAACTTTTCAACGATCATATTTCTTAGTGTGTGTTCATGTTAGAGGTAGAAATTGTCGTTTGGGTGTGAGACCAACTAAAAAAATTAAAAAAAACAGAAAATATTAGCTTTTGTGGTTGAGTTTTGTGCATAAATGAGTTGTACCTAATCACAACCTTAACCACAAAAGTTAAAACAAATACTCCCTTAGTACTGGTCTATTTAACATCTGATAACCACAATCTTAATCACAAAAGTTAAAACAAATATTCCCTTAGTACTGGTCTATTTAACATCTGACGTGAAAAATCTATAATAATTATTGATATTTCAACAAAAAAAATTAAAAAAACATAAAATCAACGTGGTTTATCAATATATCTATATTTATAAAAATAATAAGTTTTTATTTTTATTACATCAAAATAAGATTATATAATAAAATCTTAAACCATCTAAGAAAATCAAGATGCTTAAGGAGTAATATCCGTCAAAGAAATATTAATAATTTTTTTAATATTCCTTTATTATATATCACCAGGGCAATGCCCCTGCACCCTCAATCTATTGGTAGTCTATAACAATAAAACAATAAATAAATACAAGCGGTATGATTGTACTCATTTTATTCATATTTTTCAACGAGCATCATATTATTTCATCAAGAATAACGCCATTTATTTCTCCATCATGAGGTTTGAACCTTTAAAATAAAAATAAAATAAAATAACCTACTGTACGACAGCATTCATATTACAATTACAATCCTAATTACTGTTACAGTATCTAAATTTTGAGTGTAACGATCCATAATAATTATACGTTTTTTTTTAATCTCAAATCTTATCGTGAAATTTTTATTTATTTATTTTCAATTACATTTTTTATAACCAAGTTGATGATTAGTTTATTGAAATTTATTCTAGAAAGAGAATTTTTTTAAAAAAACCAAAGAAAAAAACAATGAGAAATTTCACGACTAATCTTAAATTTGTACAAAAAAAACTGTTCTTTTAAACTTTAATTTCAATTCAAAAATTTATTTTTTTAATATTTTAATTTTAAATTTGATAGAAAAAAATTACCAAATAACATCAAATAACATTAAAGAAGTCGTGATTGATCATTTTTCAACAATGAAAAAAATCAATCTTGATTTTAAAAGGTTTTATTGGATAAGAAAGGTTTTATTGATGTAATTTTAAACTTTTAAATTACTTGAAAAAAGTAATTAAAAGAAGAAAGATAATTGTTTTTTGTTTGATTTTTTATTTTTTAATCAATTTAAAGGCATTTTGATTTAAAAGATTGATTTATTGATATACTAAGAATATTTATTTAATGATTTTAAATCAAAAATAGGTTAAATATACTTTAAACTAAAATATCCAAGCTTAATTTTCTAGCCGCCTGCAGGCGGCCAGAATTCGGACTAGCCGTTGACGCGTCATCTATATGTGTTTTCTTTTTTCAAAAAATAAAAATAAATAAAGAATGACAAAGGACATGTTATCGCCCCTTAAAAAGAAAATAGAGGACCAGCAGCATGGCCTGCACTCATAAGACCACGTGCGCTTGGCTCTTTGTCTGTTGGGCCACACACTTTGCCCTGTCCTTTTTATTTTTTATTTTATTTCTTTTTCGATTTAGATTTAAATGTACTTTAATTTATTAATATTATATTTCGATTTTAATTTAATTTTTTTTACTTTTATCAAATAATATTATAGGTTTTCATGAAAATGTTAATATTTTTTTCATTGTTATATGCCTAATACGAAAAAAAATAAAACTTTTGGATATCCAATGAACATAAAAATTATATTTTTTATGAGATTTTTAATACAATTTTGATGTAATTCTATCACATTTATCCTTTATTTTATAATCTTCAATTATATATAAAATACAAAGAGTTGTTTTAGTGTTTTTTTTTTTAAATTTGCTTTTAAAATCACGAGAAATCTTTGTTTTGAACAAAATATTTGCAATTTACAAAGCGTCTCTACAATGAGTTAATTTTTAGTTTTATAAGTATTTATTTTTTATATTGTGCTATTAAATAAAAGATAAGTTAATAAAATAAAAAAATATTAATCCAAATTAAATCATGACTTCAGGTTATAAGTTTGAAGAGTTAACTAAAGTCATTAAATCTGATGAAATTTATGACCCAAATCTAATAGACTAAATTAGATTAATTTCTTGATTTTTTTAATATTTTCATCTAATATTAGATTAATTGAGAATTAAACTTTATAGTTTATTTTGATTTTTATCTATAAGATTATAATAATTTAAAACAAATTTCCTAATTATTGGATAAATATTTGATTTTACAAGTATTTATTTTTACATTATATAATTAAATAAAAAAATTTCAGAAAAAATTATTAAACCTAATAAAATTAATAATTTATATTATAAATTTAACAAATTAAATCAATTGATAAGAATCAATCCAATATCTCACTATCTAAATATATGCAAATAAATAAAGGCCATCTTCAATTTTTTTTAACTAATTATTCAATTTAAGTTGATTTTTGATCTCTAAATCATATTACAAAAACTCCTTTACAATTTTAATTTTAATTTGAAATCCTGGTCAAACAGGTAGTTCATGAAAGAATTTTGCATAACCTAGACTTATTTCTTATCTTAAAAATAATTTAGTCTTACCCGAAGATAGCGTCTGCCAGCTATCTATTCCAGTTCAAAATGAAGATCGCCAGGTCTGCTTAATTACGTGCAGGAATTGCCTTACATGATCTGTTCTCAAGAAGGAAGAGTAAAGTTTGCTTGCAAGAGCGTTCCGTGCGCAAGTCACTATCAGTCATGGCGGAAGAAACCCCTTGGCGCATGATTTCTTCTATCCGACAGGCAACACATGCACCGATTTATACCGTGTTTCTTCATAATTTTGATCTTGACCGTTGACCAAAGCACATAGGATGCCCATTCTGCATGGATTGATTATATTATATTAGTGAGTTGATTTGTATAGCGAATCAAAACATGTGAAACGATGGAGTGTTTTTTTTTCTCAACCCAAAATAGACGACACCGAGTTTCAATATTATTGAATATGACAATTAAGATAGAATTGCTATTTAAGTAAATTACGTATAGATAAGATTATTATAATACGATAATATATTCAGGTTGTGTTTGATTATTGTGTGTGTGTGTGTGTGTGTGTATTTAAGAAATAAGATAATTATATGGAAAAAAATCACTTGATGTTCCTTGTGTGTGTATTTAAGAAATAAGATTATTATATGGAAAAAAATCACTTGATGTTCCAAAAGAGAGCATTCAAGGGGGGCCTCTTCCTGGGAAGAGTAACCGCAGGGTTGCGGCTAATGGAGTTTTGTCAAGCTCCACAGTCCATTATTCCTTTTTTAAAATTGGAGAAATGACGTCTGCCCATCTATTTTCAGTCATTTCGTTTACCCGCTGCCTCAAGCTCAAACGTTGTCACTCCACCAACAACACACTTCGTCACCATCATCGAAATCTAACCGCCACGATGCCGTCATCAGATCCGGCACCAAATCGCAATCGTTCATTCGGAACTGAATCT